TCGGAGACCAACCAGAAATTTGACGCTGTTTGACCTAATTTAAACCTAAGGTCATAACCTAGCAACCTGACACTTTGACCTAAGTGAGGTCGCGCACAAGTCAACACATCCTGTAAATTCGGTGTCTCTAGCTCTCTTAGTTCCCGAGATCTCAGGGGGGGGGGGAATTGACCTCCACACCCACCCGAGCAAAGGATATCCATCCGGCCGTCCGGGCGCGTGGTAATATCGAAATGATATCAAATGATTTTCGTAATACATGGTTATGACTCGTTTCCGTTTGGAGGTAGCATACAAGGCGAACCGTTTGTTACCATGAAAGCACAAAATCGCGTCTGTTCACATGATCCTCGGACGCGTGATTTCTGTTGGATGTGTGGATGTACGCTAGTGTGAAGTGAGCGTCAGTGGGTGTGCACTGTTGCGAAATACAAGCTGAAGGCTGACACCGTACATATTTGCCTGGCTGCTTTCGTTTTTGTGCGTTACTGCCAGCGTTCGCATGATGGATCATGATCAATACTTTTTAACTGTTGCCAGTCGTTATTGCATGAGAGTGTCGCATAAGCAGACTAGTTTAATTCATTTTTGTTGGCATTTATTGTATAGGGAACGAGGGCAGTAACCACTTCTGTATCGGTCAATATGGTTTCACGACAAAAATCTGAATCAGCACTAGTTCCGCATGTAGATTACACCTGGAGATTTTTCCCGACAGATCAACATCAACACGTAAATTATCTCTGTTACCAGGTAACTCTAATACACGACGCGGACAATTAAAAAGAATTTACATCATCGTACTTCATCAGGTGACAAAGTAATCAGGCAGGGTTTACAAGCACTGTTCAGTCATGACAATGTGCTGTGTGAATCAAGCTTATGGTGAACACAGAAGACACCGAGGCTATCACTTGTCACGCTGGCCTAGTTGTTTTTCGTCTGGGCTTATCCGCCATTGTATACATCTGCTATCACGGCATTAACAGCACGTAGTTAGTAGGAACCTGCAAACAACTCATGACATCGCCTCCAGTGACTCGTTGCCTGACGGGCTTGGCTTGTCGTAACTCTAAACTCCGCTGAATGGTGGAAAACACCACTCCATTGTAATATAAATGACCGATGGCATTTTCACTACTTTGGGCGACTAATCAGCTACCTTTTTTCTAAATTTGTCTATTTTTGGGCTTTATAATCATTTTGCCTCCTTTCGAGCTTTGCGTGCGCCGTCTATTGAGCCTGTTCTTAAAATGATTTTCAATACATAGGTGTGCATCATCATGCTTGAAGTCAGAGGTTTTGGTTCTCACGATTTCCGTCCTTTTTCATATTAGACGGATTTTTAATTTTAGGCAGATTTGAACGCATGTATAGATGACAATGGGTCGAAACAAGGTTACGGTATGACATGTTTCAAAGTGTGCCATAACGAAGTAAGTTTTGTTGCAACCCAACTTTATGAAATATATTTGAATGCATAGCGAAGTGAGCTGGTATGAAATTCTGTCAGAGGGTTCTCATAAAGCTCCTTTACACGCGCCCAGGTATTAGTTTAAATACCCTTTGCTCGGATGGGAGTCAACTCCAGCCGCTTAAATTTCAGAAAACTGGGAAAGCTAGACACACTAAGTTAACGCAGTACATTGACCTGTGCCTTAGCTCATCCACGTCCAAATTTGAGATTCCAATATCATGATCTTGGTGTGAAATGAGGTCAAACAATGTCAAACTCTTGATTGTTTCTCATAGCTTCTCCGGAACTTTATATGCAACCTTCGTGAGCCCAGATACCTGTTGTAAACAACAGTTTTCTGGTGATGAATTAAGGTAAATGACTTGTTTCACCTCTTAAAGGTTATGGAGACCAAAATCACACCAGACTGTTTTAACGTTTGACTTGGAATAACCTGTTTAACTTGGATTAAGCGTCAAGGATGGCGTTAAGCGGTGCGTTTCTTAAAGCAAAACGTTTACTTGGCTTATTTCAGGTCAGGGACCTGCTCTAACCTTTACGAAGTCCATGTAAGCTGCATGACGTCATTCCTGACAAAGAAATTAGAAATGAGTGGCAGAATCTCCCCCATAAGGTAAGCTGCGGGGAAGATTTGCTTTTTGAGAAACATGTGCTTTTGACCTTGGTATGACTGTCATGCCTGACCCTAGGTCAATTAAATCAGTTTATTCAATCGCTGTATCACCATAATAACTGTCTCATAGACGTATGGTTTCCTGTTACACTCTGCTGTTGCATCAAATTGAACGATTCCCAAAACATTGTTTTCGCTTAGCCAATGGTCTGAATTTGGCCTGTCATAGGTCAGCAACCATACAAGATCAACTTTACTTTTGATGCCAAGCGATTTGCTGTTCGGTTGCCTCCAGCTATGCAAATTGGAGGGCGCCTATGCTTTATGTTTGGAAATAATGCGAATAACCTTTGGGGTCAAGCTAACCTCCACCAGAGCGCATGCTCATGGAAAAGCAACCTCTTGTTGTAAACGATGATTCTTGTAATGTCCTCGCCTTCAGCTCACGTGCTTTATTTTAGTATCAAATGTAGCCTAGAGCCCAGGCATGTCCAATTTTACAGGCCCCACTCTATCCCAACTTTGGCCGAGCCTATGGCACAACAGGCCAGCCCAGCCCGTGACATGCACTGATCGACTGTGGAGTGCTGGGGCTTCCGCGATCTGTTACAATGTCGCAGATTCTCCCTACGAATGTTCAGTTCCTGCCAATATTCTGCTGAGTGCGTAACTCAAGACGACACAAGGGCACTGTGTTGACAACATACACTTGTGTGCACAGTTCACTGGCCCGCAGACAGCGTCACATGCACGGGTCACTGGCCCGCAGACAATGTCACATGCACAGGTCACTGGCGCGCAGACAGCGCCACATGCGCAGTACACCCGCAGCCCTGCACAACCTCTCGCAGCGTCGGCTTGCCCAGC